CCCCCCATCTAATTTCATATTGATAGAATTCTTGAAAATAGTACGTCTTTCTTTTCAGTAACAATACCTTTATGTATTTTTATTGCGCTTTTAATGTTTATTATGTTAAGAAAAAAAAATAGAAGCACATTTTCCTATCCTTTGTTACAAACGAGTTTTTATTTCAGCTACTCCAGCTAGTAGGTAATAAAATGGATGAAAAAGTTTTCTTTCTGAAATCCTTTAGGTAAAAAAAAAAAAAAAAAAAGATCGGAAAGTTGCATTTTACTTACAGAAAATAGTAAGCTTTGTAAGCTCCACTTTTTTCTCTTTTTTTTTTATGGGACTCATTAAAAGCACTTCTTGATCCCAGAGGCACAATGAGGTTTACGTACGAAATATGGATCCTTTTGGATTCAACACAGTTATTTTGTTCTTCCTCAGATCCAATATTAATCTGATTCACAGACTTAGATAACAAACTGAAGATAGTTTTCACTTTTAAAAGATTTTTCAGCCTAGTGAGTTCAGTCTAAATCTATGCCCTTCACTCTTTTAGCGAGCCATTTCAAAGATCATAATATAAAAGCCCTAAGGAAGATATGAATTAATGTAAACTCTTATTTTTCGTTTGCTTTTAACCTAATATGAATAATTCATCATCTAATATTCACGTTAAAAATTAATTAATTCTAGCTCCAAACCAAACTGCATGAAAACATTAAAGTTTGAAAAGACAGGTTACAGAGAAAAAAAACAATCCTATCAATACCCCTGTTACAGATAGGTTTTCCTTTTCGGATCTTGATATCTACATACGACGTTGCACTTCATGCTATCTTACACAAAATAAGCAAATTAAGGAAAATACAACAACATAGTATATAGAACGGCAACCATTATGACATATTTAATTAGTAGATAGGAATGACTTTCACGGTTTTTGTGCACGTTTAAAAGAAAAATATTTACTTAATCTGCTGATAAGGTTATCAGTTCCAGGACAAAGACTGGCCAGAAGCATCCAAGCGTTACTAAAATATGCGAAAATAATCATTGTATTTAAAATATCACATATCATCTGTTGGAAGAATAGTTACCCCAAGTATAGTTGTTCAATTGTCTCTTATTGTATGCTATGCTGGATTGGTTATATTAAATTTTGTTCAGAATGCACTTCATCATTTAATACTACTAGTTTTATTTTTCACTTTGTTATTTAGTAGATCATATATAAATATAGTGTGCTACATTTGCTGTTCGGGTTCGGATCCCTGTCCCACCAAGCATGCTCGCCCTTTCAGCCGTGAGGTCGTTATAATGTGACGGTCAATCCCACTATTCATTGGTAAAAGAGTAGCCCAAGAGTTGGCGGTGGGTGGTGATGACTAGCTGCCTTACCTCTAGTCTTACACTGATAAATTAGGGACGGGTAGCGCAGATAGCCCTCGTGTAGCTTTGTGCGAAATTAAAAAACAAACAAACATTTGCTGTTAAATGTTCTTCCTCCATATTCGCACTAACGCATGGATATAATTTGCTTTCTAGTAATTTAAGCGTATAGTATTTAATCTTTTGAGGGGAAGTACTGCTATACGCAAGATTAATCCATGAAAATAGATGAGCTTACGTAAGTCGTTTAACATTCGCAAACATTTGCTGGATGATTTGGAGATTATGTTATAATTTCCGTGCAGATGAATGAAATATTTAAATTTCGTATTCTCTATAGGAGTTTCAAATTTTAGATTAATTATTTTAGTTGCAAGATCATTGCTGCTGACTAGTGAGCGTCGTAGGAAAAGGTCGTGAGCGATAAAGCAAGCACAGTAATTGTTTGATAAAATTCTTCGTTAAATCAAAATTAAGCAGAAGAAGAAAAAAAGCATCTGCAGCAATCTAATAACGTTTGTAACTGTAAATCACAAACTTTACAAAATACTCTTTAGAAACGGAATTTCAAGTTAAAATCTTAAATTTAACAATACAGATAAACAAGTTAGGGGAAAATGTGGAATAAT